AAATACTCAGTTCCGCACTGGGAAGTGATGCTTTTGATTTTCCCCTGAGAGCCTACTTCTTGCGTGCTAAGAAAGACGGAAGCTTTAGCAAAGCTGGCAAGCACTCACTGGCCCTCCTGGCCCGTTCCCCTCACACAGGAGGCCCCCTTTGCCTCTCGGGGATCAGCAGCTGTTTACAGGCTGATTGTTCAGCATACAGACATGGGGACAGCAGGTGTAAGCGGGGAGATGAGTGTGCTTCCCGTAAGTTTAGAATGCCTGCCTCTAGGCTGTCAGCAGCTCTCCCCTAATCCCTTCCTGCTTTGGGGCTGTTTCCTCCACATACTCTTCTCCTGCCCTGACTGCCGCCGTGTTCTGCTTTGTCTGGAGGGAGACGTGAGGAGCAAGACACGACCCCCAGTGCCTCCTGTGAGCCACGTGTTCAGTCGCAGCCGAAGGAAAATGAGCGTCTGAAACAAGTCCCTTGGCTTTTGTGAGCTATTTTTTCTAGGATGAAGGCAAAAAAGTCTCTTGTATTATGCATCCATCGCATCTATCTTATCTCAGGTAGAAATGAGTCATGTTTACCATGAGCTATACAAACTCCACGGATCTTTTTTAAAGAAACAAAAAAACAAACCGCAAATCCAGTTTACTTCTGAGTCAGTTTTGCCCTCTACATGTAAGAATGTTATATCCCCTTCGTATCCCCTTACCTTCCCTATAGTGTGTTTTGAAGGGGGTTCATATCCCTACACTCTTAGAAAGCACTGTCCTCCAGACCAGAAGGGAGCAGGTTGGAGCCCCATAAGGACGTGCTCAGGCTGTTTGTCCCACCTGGCAGAGGGTTTATACAACTCACCCCGGCTCACACCGCTCACATTCCTGGTGACCAACGGCAGCTTGGTTGGGCAGACAGCTGGTGAAACAGCTGTCTGGGCAAGAAACATACCCTGTGGTCACAGAATGGGGCAGGAGTCAGGCCACAACTTTACCTCCATCAACCTTCCAAAGGACTAAGTACACAGCAAAGGTGTCCTTTCCTTCGGCTAACACACCCTGGGCCTGGAGCGTGGGCTTCTATGTTCCTCCGACTTACAAGACGTCTGTGTAGTCTCACCAACGTGAGACTCTAACAAGGAATTTAGCCAAGATCCAGAAGCTTCCCAGGCCCCTCTACTCAGGTGAGACTCTGTCTAGCTCTCCATCCAGCAGAAAAATGTAACCCCAGGTTGTCATTCAGGTAAAGGAGGTTTCAATTATGGAAGAAGAATCTTTCTACCCTGATATGCTGGTAAAATACTAACGTCTAGCTTTTTTATGTCTTTTCACCCAATATCAGTGTCCCAGAACATCCAGACCCCGTCCTCATTCTCACTTGTGTACTCAGGGATCTTACTCCCATGTAGCAATTCCTGTATGGATGTCGCTTTGCCCAGGCATTAGGAATATGCAGCTGTACAGTAATCTTCTCCACATAATTCAAATGTTTTGTAATGTCACGCCTCCTTGCATCTTTCCTAACACATCCAATATCACAGGGTTAGGAGAAAACACGAGTCGGCCCTTTGCATCTGAGTACTCCTGGAGTCCACGTTGAAAGAAAATTCAGCAACTGTTTAGGCATTGGGATGAGACTCACTGAAACACACTCGGGTGTCATAACGTCCTGACAATTACCGTGTGCTTGGTCCAGAACCGACCTCCCGTGGGGGACACATGGCCCGAGCTGAGGAGGCATCTGCCCAAGTGCAGGGAGTGGCAACATATGGCCTCCAGACCTTTGAGCCACTGACAGAACAAGACGAAAAACACGGACCCCACCCCTTGCTCACACGGACAGCTGTGACATCAGCATGCCACGGCCATGTGTGGAATGCCCCAAAATAGTCTTCTTGCTGATGCCAAAGAGTCTTTCTGTGTGCACACACCCAGCAATGGCCACTTGGAATTTGGTTCTGCCCTCTGTTAAGGCCATCTGTCCAAATAAAGAGAGAGTATCCAGTCTTGTTTGTGGCACTGATAAAGTAGTCACAGAAACTGTGGGCCCAGGCTGCACCTGTTCCCAGCTGCCTGGCTGAGCACAGAGTGCTGGCAAAGGAAGACCGCGAGGCAGGGAATGACAAGGCAAGCCCTAAAAGGGGGAGATTTTGGAATACTAGTTCCATGGAAAGAGAGGTCTTCGCTTTGAAAACATAACATCTAACCAAAGAAAGCATGACAAATTCAATCCAGTTTAACTCAGTGAAAGACTACACGCACAGTTCCATGTTAAACGTAGTACAGAAAAATCTTGGCTGCCTGCCCCAAAAACCTAGTGTTTAGCACATATTTTCCTAGTGTCCGTACAGAATAGTATGTAAGTTTCCATCTCCACATCTGAAAGGATTAGCTGCCTATTAACAAATCTGGGGATGTTAATAATAGACAATTGGAAGGTTTTGAAAATTCTTCTGTCAATAACACTCAGATCTGAGGATGATTTATTTGCCCCATAACTGCTTTAAAAGATGTGTCTCATGGTAGAAATTGCTACCTGACAGTAAATTTTAGTTATTCCTGAGAACACCACTTTTACTGCCCAAACTGATAAAAAATAAACAGTAATTCTTTAATCTCATCCAACAGGATATCTCTCTGTTCTTGGGAAATAAACAGTCCTACAAAAACAATAAAGAATAGTGCCATGAAGGAAATTAAAAGTCAGATTTTAAAAGAAGTATCCTCGTAATCGTCTGGTTGAGTGGCTTTCAGGATGGGCTCCCAGAACACGGTGGACCCCTCCCAAGGCGTTTCTGCATAAAGACCTGAGCCAAGAGGACTTCAGACCCACACCCACTGCAGCCAAAGATTCACTGGAAAAAGGGAATCCAGTGGTCAGAGGCACATGGGTGCAAGTCAGACGCTTAATCTCCCTTCAGAGTCCTCAGCCAAAATAATTATTTAGATCTGCTACTTTCTCAAAAAAAGTATAAAATGGAAAAAATGACCAACAATTTTTTTCAAAAGCACTACACACACATACAGAAACACACAATTCTCTAATAAGGCCAAACTCAGGATCAGAGCATTTCTGAGTTTAAAACAATTATGTTGCCCATAATGTTAGCACTAAATTACTGCTAGTACATATTCCCTTTATTGACAAAGATTTTAAAAGATTAAAAAGCAGAGAAGAAGAAGAAACTAATATTTACACATTTTAGTAGAGTGCTATTGTTTCTGGGAAGACCATTCAAAAATATACACCTTAACTAGACCTTTGGATAAACTGAGAGTAGAATGTGATTTGGGGGAGAAGAAATATTTGGTGAAGAAGATGCTCAGTTTTAAGGCATATAAGGGGTTTGGTCTTATGGAATTATGAAGTAAAGAAGAGAGATTATCAATTACGAGATCTAAGTGAAAGAAGCCAGACACAAAAGGCCATGTATTGTGTGATTCCATATACATGAAATGTCCAGAACAGGAAACCCACGGAGACAGAAAGCAGGTCTGTGGTTCTCAGGACTGGGAGGCACGCAGGAGGTTTCTTTGTGGCATGATAAAAATATTCTGGGATCAGACAGTGGTAATCCTTGCCCAACTCTGGGAATATATCAAAAAACACTGCATTATATACTTTAAAATGGTAAATTTTGTAGTATGTGAATTATATCTCAATTGTTAAAGTTATTTCTTTAATTATGAGCTCAAATGGCTAAATCTGCGTCCTTGAAAACTCAGTGAAGAAAAGAGTTTTAAAGAAAAGACAAAAATAAAGACAGAATAAGTTAAATAGAGGGCCCTGGTCCCCACAGTGTTATTGTTTTGTGGGGTTCTTTTTGTATTTTTTGTTTTTTTTTGGTTTTTTTTTGCTGTACGCGGGCCTCTCACTGCTGTGGCCTCTCCCGTTGCGGAGCACAGGCTCCGGACGCGCAGGCTCAGCGGCCATGGCCCACGGGCCCAGCCGCTCCGCGGCATGTGGGATCTTCCCGGACCGGGGCACGAACCCGTGTCCCCTGCATCAGCAGGCGGACTCTCAACCACTGCGCCACCAGGGAAGCCCTGTTTCGTGGTTTTTTAAGCTCTCTGAGCAGAGGATCTATGTGATTATTCTTTTTATTCCCTCTGCAAAAAAATTAAGCACAATATTATGCAAAAATAGTGTTTAAAGGAACTATTTGTTAATTGATTATTGATTACATGATTTTGGGCAACAGCATGAGCCATCTTTGCAGTGATCAGAAAGACAGTAGAGCTCCCCACTCTGTCCCTTTCCTTCACTGTCACTACAATCCCAGGTGAGACAACTGGTCCCTTTTATGGGATGCTGCAATAGACCCAACTCAGGTACAGTTTGGTCTTAGTCGTAGTGTAGTTTGTCTAAATTCCCAGGACGTTTATGTTACAAAAATCCTTGTGCTTATGTTTTCAGGTTAGTGCTCTGGCTTTTATTTCCTAATTAAATTTAAAAGTCTTAAAATTCACAAGACTCACCTATTCAATTATTTTTCTATTTGTACTATGATCCTTTTAGCAGGAATTAGACTAGTTAGAAAGCTGACTAAAAAAGATACAGGTTTTACAAAGAAGAGAAGGTATTTAGGTAATGCACATGAACCACAATTAAAATGGAAGGATGATGATATAGAAAAAGATGCTTTTTACCTACAATAAACAAATCATGAGGGTTTGTAATATCACAAAAAGCTTCACCTACACCCAGATGTTACAGAGAGACGTGTTATAGCCCCCTTTTACAGGTAGAAAATTAACAGGATAAGAGAGATTAAAGGGCTCTTGCAGCAGAGCTTTCCTGTCTACTGTCTTCATTCATATAATGTGGATACAATGAGCAAATGGAAAACGGGAAGTCCCTGGAAAAGTGTGTGACATATAGGTAGCACTCAGGAAATATTGTACATGAATATTAACATATTATTACTACTAGAAGCCTCACCCCTGAAACTAGAAGTGGAAAATATGAAGATATGGGGGAAAACCACAGCTGGAAATCATACCCTTCACGATGGACGTACCTGCGGCGATGTAGGAGCCTCCCCCGGCTTTATAGAGAAGATGGCTGGCGAAGGGGGCTGCGCAGATGATCAAAAAGCTCGCAGTCACCACAGAAACTACCCCAAGAAGCATCAGGACCGCCCAGAAGCCACGGTAAACTGCAGACCCCAGGAGAAAAGGACAAGAGAAAGGCACACTTAGATTGTGAACGCAGCAGACTGTCACACAGTAAGTTTCTCTCTTCAGTTTTCTAATTTCAGCCCCAGCACTGCTGGACGGAATCCCAGGCTGTGGTCCTGAGTTCTCTTTAAAAGGAAGCCTCACCAGACGACTTTGGACTCAACGATGCCGAACTTCTATCAACAAGCGCTTGGTATTTACACCACATATGTGCTTAATATATACTCTGGGAGCTCATTTTTCTAACCAGATTATCCATGTTAGAAGTGGGAACATCTAACGTTCTATAAAGACTCCTCTTGAGAAAGTTCCCAGATAGGTCACACATAGGTGTTCACACCAAAAGGACAAGGACATAAAAAGGCATTCATATTCACAAATGCTGCCTCTTAATTACTGCCAAGATAGTGTTTATACCACAGTGATCCCTTAGAAGCTGGTAATGGTCCCCTCAATCTCCTAACAAAAAAGTACACTTCTATTTAGATTGTGACTCTACTGGAAAATAGTCTTAAGGTAATAAAAACGACAAGCAAAGCGGAAAAAAAAAAAGGGTTTGTACAGACTGAGATTTAAGATCAGATATATTTAAGGCTTACTACTTTCTATTAATATTTGTTCCTAGAAAGATTTAAAATGAGAAGCTATAGCGGTCTCTTAGTCAAGGACCAGTAAGTCTGCATTAATGGATGCAGCTGGTGATAAATAAATTGTGGATTTAGTGACATACAGTGATCAAATAAAGAAGCATTCTAATGTGCATTTTTGAGTGGGATAATTACCGATCTCTTAAACAAATTCATCATTTCCCAAAGGCTCAAACACAAAAATAAATTCCTACGTGTGTAAATGAGGGAAAGCTCACTGAAACACATTCATGAAATTACAGTTTTTTACGAAAATACAGAAACTTTATAAGAAAGCAAAGAACGATTTTTCTCAACAAGTCACCTGGCAGAGGAAAAAATATATCAATCAACTGGAATCTTTAAGAGAAAAGAGAATGGCAGGATGGAAAATCGAGGAGAGGAACCACCGCAGTTAAATGAGAAAAGAAGGCTTACATTTCCGCGTGAATAACTCGGTTTTGAAGACAGAAACAAAAGGCAGGCTTCCACCTCACAGGCCAATGCCATCCATCTGGCAGTGGCTGCCAGGCTTGCTGGTGAGGAAGTATTCTGTGGCTGTACTCAGGCTCCTCAAGGCACAGGGCAGTAAAGCACTGATCAGCTCTCAGTGCGGGAAGTGAGAGTGAAAGGCTTTGAGCCAAACGTCGGCCATCCCTGTCCTCCCAGAGTTTGCTAGATAACTGGTGAGCCTCACGTGTTACACTTTCGTTCACTTCATTTATTGCACTAACACGCGGTCGTGCTGTGGCAAGTGCTGGGGTATAAACATTCGTAAGAGGTGGTCCGGGGAAAAGGAACCCTTCTATCACCTCTCCAATCACCCTCTGATCACCCTCCAATCACAACTAAGACTAGACAAAACGGCAAACAACAGGAGTTTGGAAAGTAAACAACAGCAAGTGGATTAAGGAGGGAAGTAAAACCTTAATGAAAGATCAACTCAGCTGCAAGGGGTTTTCTGGGTTTTTTCTATTTTTTTCATCCAGGATTTGGCCTCAAGGCAAGCCAAATTGGGAACTGTGTAAAAAGGTTCAAAGAGCACAATATCCCTAGAGAAGGCCGTCATGCTGGCTAGAGAAGCAGGAGAGGGGCTCTGCGAGCCAGAGTATGGGGAGAACTCATGTTTTTATTCTCCTCGCCCTGCTTCACAGCCAGCTTCAAACATAGATCTGCACTGCCACCCCCATGGGGGAGTGGACGTTTAACATCCCAAAGATGATCCAACTCTTAGGATAGAAGAATCAGAAAAAGAAACCCAATTGCTCAAAGAGTGGGGGAATCACCTTTTCTCTTGCTGGTCTGCACTGGTGCCGCTGCAGGGAACTCTGCCACAGCACAGGAGACCAAAACTCTGAAGGAACCCCATCTTTCTACCCAGAGAAACTGGGAAAAAGGGGCCGTGGAAGCCAGAGGGTGTACACGGCAGAAAATCCCACAGATGAGAGAGGGCTGGACAAGAGAATCTCCAGTTCTGTGTTTGAATCTGTACAAGTATTGGGCTCACTCCCCACGTTGCACACATGCAGAAAACACCCAGAGATGTATAGCAAAGGCTCTGAGAACTGAATTACAGTATAAAAACCACCCAAGTACCAGAGCAAGCCCGGAGCAGTGATGCCCCAGGCAGACCCAAATAGCATAGAGAACCGAATTGACAATGCAGCTACTATCACAGAGGAAAAGGACAGAACCATGCCAGCCAGTTGCCTATTCAAACAACAAATCAGTATTCTCCAGAGGATTTTAACAATATGCGGAGACTGACAACAAAATATTCAAAATGTCCAGGATACAATCCAAAATTTCTTGATATACCAACAACCATGAAAATCTGACCAATTCTCAAAGGACCAAGCGATCAGTAGATGCCAACACAAACACCATCCAGACATGTGAGTTAGCAGGCAGACTTTGAAGTAGCTTTTAGAACCAGCTTCTATGAACTAAGGTGAACACTCCTGAAATGAACAGAAAGATAGAAATTCTCAAAATAGAAGTAGTATCTATAAAAAAGAGAACTAGGCTGAACTTTTAGAGTTGAAAAATACAATATGTGAAATAAAAACTCCCTTACATGGGCTCACTAGCAGAACAGGGAGGAGAGAGGAAAGAGCAACAAACTTGAAGAGAGAACAGTAAGAATTATCTAGTCCGAACCACAGAAGGAAAAGAGACTGAAAAGAAAAATGACTAGAATCTCAGGTACTTGTGGGACAATATCAGAAGATCTCACATTTGTGTCACTGGAGTCCCTAAAGCAGAGGGAAAAGATATTGGTGCAGAGAGAACATTTATAGAAATAATGCCTTCAAACTTCTTAAACTGGGTGAAAGACAAATTCACAGATACAAGAAACTCAGCAACCTCCAAAGAGGGCACACTCAAAGAAATCAGCCTAGACACGTAATAAGAAAATTACTGAAAACCACAGGCAAAGTCTTGAAAGCAGCTGGGGGAGTGGGGGTGGAGATGACCCATTAGATGGACGGGAACAGTAATTCCACGGATGGCAAGTCTCTCATCAGAAGTGACTGAGGCCACTGCCCAAGTCAGAGTGGACATTGTGAGCTGTGGGCATGTTGTCACAATCACCGCAAAGTAGAGGAAAAGGGTTGCTGGCAAAGATGCTGACTTGGGTGGTCCCCTTTCATGACCACAGGGTGTACCTTCGATCAGAGGGGCTGCTCGAGGACTGAGGGCGTGCTGGGGACAGAGCAGCCCTGTGTGAGTAGAGGGCAGAGGAGGTCTGACAGCTTCCACTTTCAGGTTGGGGACCCTGAGTAAGTACACAACAGTAAAAGTCATGGCAAAGAAACAAACAGAAAAAGAAATGACTGAGGCCAGAAGACAGTTAAACAGTATCTTAAAAGTGCCCCAGAAAAAGACCTGTCAACCTAAAATTCTGCCTCCAGTGAAAATATCTTTGAGGGATGAAGGGAAAAGAAAGCCATTTCTCAAGGAGGAAAATATAGACTTTGTCATCAGTAGACCTGCTCTACAAAGAAATCCTAAAGAAATTTCTTTAGGCTGAAGGGAAATGACACCAGGGTTTCTTTGAAATTTCAGAAGTGAAGGAAGAAAAACAGAAAAGGTGGATATCTGTGTAAATATAGTAGATTATTTTTCTCATCTTAATTTCTTTAAAATATATTTGACTGTTGGAAGTTTTATATATATATATATATATATATATATATATATATATATATATATATTGCATAATACAGTAAAGAAATGTAGGTTTCAGAATCAGAGTGATCTGAGTATGCACTCTTACCTGCAATGTAACCTTGGACCACTTACTAAACTTATGAACCTGTAAAATAGGAATGCTTTCTGAACCTTCACTTCTGTAAAATAAGAATGTTTGTGTCCATCCTTTAGAGTTCTTGGAAGAATTACTAACAGTGTATTTGAAGTGTGTGGCATATCACAAGAGACCAATGAATGCCACTTATTTTGTGGCTGCTTTTATTGCATGTTAAAATTTCATTAACATGACACAGCAGAGGGTATTATGGTCAGTAATAGGAAAGTGGATTACTTCCCCCAGAGAGCCTTGCACAGTGTTTCTTATGTATCATTGACATTAGGAAATCCCTTTAGATTACAGTACAGGTTGTGTTTGCCAATACACACAGTTCCACAGAGCTTTCACACTATCTTCCATGGGAAGTTTCCCTGTCCACTAAGAAGGCACTGGCCACGTTTCATACCACACGGCTCTACTCTTAATTACCCCAAATACAAACAAACGGGGTCAGATACCTGACACAAAGACCGAAACATGGTGGCCTCTGACCCATGCAGAGATGAGCTGAGCTAATCAGTGTGACCCCTTGAGAACGGGAACACTGCAAAAGGGAGAGGATTCACAGCAGAGATGAAGCTACAAGGAAGCACTGGTAGCTGATCCAGAAGAGCTGTGGTGAGCCACGGCCATAGCCAAGCAAGAGGGCAGGAATTATGACTCAGGCCATAGGGAGGGCAGAAAAAGCAGAGGAGCCTCTCCACAGAGAGAAGCGGGGGGACTGCCAGAAAGAGAAAACACCGGGTGAGGGTGAGAGAGAAAGAGAGCCAGATGGAAATGGGGGATAAGTGCTCCCCAGAACTGCTGTTCCTGAGACCTGCTGCTTCCTGCCCTTGGTCTGCCCTAGCAGAGCAGCCTGACTTTTGATTCTGAGTCCCCGGTGAAAGGCAGGAGCAACAGATCTGTACTTAAAGGAGGGGGCACCTGGCTGCCTGGAGAGTTGTGACCATACAGACATAGATAGCTTCCAAGTGAAATTCCTTCCTGCAGTCACCACAGGCTTTATCTTCTGCCTGTGCTTCAACATTCCAAAGTGCGC